TAAAAAAAACCGCATCAAAATCCGTTGCGTAGTTTTAAAGATCTAAGCATACATACGGACATACAGCGAAAGCGACTTTGTTTTATACTATGTATTGATTTGTTATTGGAACAAAAAATTGTATAAATGGCATCATTTGAATGACGTTTTAAAATTGTACTGAGCTGCCCTACATACATAAGTATAATGCCCGAATACTGAAACGTTACTCAATTTTAAGTCACGCTTAAGTATAGTTCTGTCACCACTAATTCTTTGTAAAATGACAGAGATGGCACGATATTTAAGCACGACTTAAAATTGAGTAACGTTTCAGTATTCCGGCATATGGCGTGTTTCGGTTTTGCCTGCCAGTCCCCTAGAGGTCACTGGTGACTGTTCTCCACTAGCTCCATTCCATTATAGACGTTATTTCATAAATAATGTTATTATAAGTATATATTATGAAAATCACAGAAGTTGAATAAAATGCTTCTAGAATCTCCTAACAGTTGTGAATTTCTTGAGTTTGTTCTTCTTGCGCGCTAGTGATGCCATCTTGTGCCCATTTCATTCTACATTCGGATTCAGCTGCATTGTTGACAAACTGAAATTCACTACTGTTTTCCAATTTTACTATTTCACTTCTCACCAGCAACAGGAAGTATCCTTGTACCACTGAAAAGAAAAATAAATTAGTATAAGGCCTGAATCATACGTGTACTTAACACATAACATAACATCACGCCTTTTTATCTCTTAAGGAGTAGCAGTGCATATTACGGCACTATGCTAATGTATAATGTAACACCCACTTTTCACTATTTATGTTTTGAGTTCCATGTAATAGGGGGTGAGCCTATTGCCATATACCGGGCACAATTCCAACCTCCGTGCTACTACTGAGAATTTTTATAAACTATGTAATACTTTGCCCGACGCGGGAATCGAACCCGCGACCTCTTGCCCGGTCGTCGCACTTGCGACCACTCAGCCAACTAGGCAGGGTTTTTTAAAAATAGTTTATTAAACAATTACTATAACTTACATATCTGAGACAGGTAAGTGAAGAGATCAGTAAGGATGTAGAAGATATGGTGAAGGAATGCCACGTTGTGTTGGTACATCAGGTACACCGTGTACACGGATACGGCGACACCCAAGATGATGATCAGCACCCACAGCACTATGTTGTACACGTAGCACATCTTCAGCAGTTTCACATTTTTCTGAAGGCAAATAAAGGTATAAATTAATACTTTTTCATAGCTAGACGGTTTCGTGGACTTCTATGACATCTACTGGAGCATCTAGGGGATATAGGACATATGTAGGTATGTATGGTCAAGGTATGAGTATTATTAACTCGTCGAGTACCGTCATTATAGGCACAATTATAGAACAATAGGTTGCGGTCACCGGTGACCGCTTGGTGTTTGACAGTTTAAATACCATCATCAATTTCAGATACGCTACTGCTGGACCAAGGGCTTCTCTAAGAAAGAAGGTTTTCCTATTGGACTTAGTTTAAAAGTTCCTGTTCGTCAGTAAAGTGTGTAGCACCTTCGTATGATACCCACGAAAGGAGTAGTTTTTATATTTTAGGGGAGAAAATCATCGAATGACTTCTCTCGCCTGGGTGAGGCGAAAGAAAGTGTCAGACTCTTACTGGCTAAAAACCACACCGTGCCTACTCCTGCTAATGGCATGATAGTGGTGTTAAATGTTCGGAGTCGCGGAAAACGTAACGGGTTACCGGGGCTCCGGCTCGAAGTGCAGGAGAAGGAACGGGGTGGTTATTAGTCAGTAAGAGTATGACACTCCCTCCCGCCTCACCCAGGCGGGAGCAAGGTACTGCTACAGCTGCTAATATCAAACACAGAAGCCTGCTTCAATTGATCACTTGTCACTTTAGCATATGTGTCGGAATGTTACTCAAAATTAGCATACTTATTTTAGGCAACTTTGCGAATCGGCCAGGCATTCGATTTTTGAACATGTTTGAGCATGCTCAGTAGAACTATTTTTAGCATGCTATTTTAGAGCATGTGTAACAGTACCGTGACCTTATAGGTCAAAGACAATAGGTTATTGTATGTTATATTCACGATATTTTTAAGGTAGGCAAAGCCTTTTTGCCTATTTGGACTGCACGCCACAGTAGATTATTATAAGTACTTATGTTTATTATCTTACCCTTTGTGCTCCAATAATAAACACGACAGTGAGCGTAAAGTCTGCGACGCCCAGCAGTATGATTAGACCGATTATAACCAGGTTGCTTACACTGTAGGACCGGGTCTGCACCATCTCCAACACATGTATGAACTCTATTGTAAGAGCCACTGTCACGATTATATCTATCACCTGAAACCGAGGACAAACACTGGTTATTTTACTAATATCATCATCGAAGGTTCATATTAACTACCTAGAACTGTCTATTGGGTCAAGCGGTCGTATGCGACTCCCAAGCAACGAAGTTTCAAAGTATTTCTTAGGAACAGTAACGTTTATAGGGATTTCGAGTGTCAAAAGTTCTCTCTTTTGTTTCCGTTATCGTCTGTATGTACAATGTATTGCTGTACACTCTATTGTGATTACACTTGACAAAAGAAAACACGATAGTGCACACTACCTACACAAGTTCATAAAACTTTGCTTTTGATAATCACAAAAAAAACTGTAACACTCGTTAAAACCTAATAATATCTTTCTACCGGGAAATTTAATCTAACATGGACCTTATTGCTATATTACCTTAGCCTTTAATTTAATTTAACACGGACTACATTACCTTAGCCTTTAGGGGCGTTGCGTTGCTTGTAACTAGTATGTACTAACACAAACCAATTATTGATATTTTTCATTTGATATTTTTTATATGTTGTTCTAACTTGACATTTACTTTTTATTTTACAATTGTTAGTGCTAGGACCGTGCAAGACTTTGCCTCACAATTTCTTTTCTAATTATCCATATTCTGACAGTTTGAGTATTTGTGCGACCTAAGCAAATGTTCTTTAGGTTGGTATTGTTCGTCGAATCAGTCAGTCTCACCTGTTAATTGAGCTGACTGTAAACCGACACATGCGTACTGCCTTCAGAACGGGGCCGCTCAATCTGTTGTGGTTATTTCCTCAAAAGGCCACTACAGAAAGAACTTGCACGGTTCTCACACATAATCTGTTATACATATTGTCTGGATTTTAAAAGAGACAGACCTCTGAGTTTGTTTCGGTATTTCTTCTCAGAGTAGTCAGTTACGAAATGTCGACATCATCGTTCGCTTGATAAAATTGACGTGTAAAAGTGCTGCCTTGTAGCCTATTTGCAGAAATAAAACTCACTTGTTTCACTTGGTACATAGTCAATTTAATAATATACTTACCAGTCTGATATAACCCCATCCAATCAGCCCATAACGTAGAGGTATGCACAGAAGACATCTCTTCAACATTGGCAGTTCACAGCACATTTTTATTATCGATTTAGTAAATCTATTACAAAATAAGAAAATGCTTTAACACAGCGTTTAAATCAAGAGACAGACCAATTGCCCGTAACGTACTTAAACTGTTTTATATAAACATTAATATTAAGTCAAAGTACAATACAATAACAAATTACACCCACTCATTTAGTAGAAATGATAACTAAACAACAGTTTTAATATATAAACATTCTTATCACTCAAACACTTCTTAAAAACAGTTTTTTGTTAGTAAATACAAAAATATTATGAACAATAATTTTGTTACTGCAAAACAAGTGAAGGTACGCCCACTTTATAATGATTGCATAATATTAAAACAAAACTAGACGTGATATTAGATTCACTACATGACAGATGTCAGAAAAATCATTTCAAATATATATCACTGTAATACAAACTATACCTATGTCACATGTAATCGTGACTATATGTCCGTGTATGTCACTTTTATATGTGTAAATGGTACATAGTCGAGCTGAGTGGCCCCTAATCTCAAGCAAGCGCCATCCTGTCAGTCCTTGTTAGTCATCGTCGAAAATAATCGTTTAGCTTGAAGAATTTCAGGAAGAAATAAACTGTAAGATGAGTACGATGTTGTTCTTTTCCAGGAAAACTAAGAAATACCTACATAAAAATATGTTTATGTTAATTGAGCTCTGTTTTACCAATTAAACTGTCAAACACCAAGCGGTCACCGGTGACCGCAACCTATTGTTCTATAATTGTGTCTACAAAACCGGTACTCGACGAGTTAAACCCTTTCGTTTGACATCCATAATAGAAGTGCGTGTGGAAAAAAAAACTAATAACGAACAAAAGGTCAAAACTAAAAAGCAAAAAATAACTATCATTAGTACTGATAGGTTACCCCCCACTGATAGGTTAGAAGTCGGCGCCATATAGGTATAGGTACAAAATTATTCATTAAAACCTTTATAGATACCTACCTAATTTACAATTTTTTGGCCATTAAGTTGTATCATTATGATATGAGCTTATGGCACCGACTTCTAATCTATCAGTGGGTGGGTAACCTATCAGTACTAATGATAGTTATTTTTTGCTTTTTAGTTTTGACCTTTTGTTTGTTATTAGTTTTTGGTTTTTTGAAGTCGGTTTTTTAAACGCAGTTTTTATTTTATTATTTTATCATTTTCAGTGTAGAGCTACATAGATCCGTTTTGTCACTTATAATGTACATAGGTGGAAAGTCCTAATCAATACAGATTAGTTATTATAAACCGTTGAAGAGTTCCCTTAACAATTACACTTCTTCATCATCAGACCCTTCATGACAGCCCCACTCTATCTAGGTGTAAAGTCCTCATCAATATAAATTAATCAAGCCCAAACACAGGAGCCCCGTTGAGGAGTTCCCTCGACTGTCTCTCGGCTCCATCATCAGGTCGACTCCAGACCCTTATCAAATTGTAGTGTCTAAAAATACTAATTGAAAAACATAATACACGCACTACTTGCCCCTACAATTTTCGAAGGTTCCCTCCGTTTCCCTAGGATTCCATCATCAGATCCTTACTTCATAGAAATAGGACCATCTCAGGAGTATACCCTTTCAAACAAAATAAGAATTTTGGAAATCGGTCCACTAATAGCGGAGTAATCCGCAAATAAACAAAAAAAAAAACAATCAGTCGAACATATCCTCCACCTTTTTTTGAAGTCTGTAAAAATAGATTGTCACTGAAAAAAGACAAGAACCGTAAGTTTATAAATTTCCTTTATTCTACAAATAAGTGACAGTAATGTGTGGTAATGAGTTGGAAAATGACTTGAGTATTCGTTGTATTTATAATCATTCTCAAGATTTCTCCGTAAAATAAAAAATAAAATTTTCCGTAAAATTCCCAAGACGTTCAAAGCAGGAAAAGAACCAGACTAAAAATAAAATATAAATAACCTAAAGACCGACTGCACCGCCATCTGCCGGGCTGATTCGTGAATCTAGACCATCCAGGGCGCCACACAAACGCATACAGAAAAAATAATTTAAATCGGTCAAGCCATTTAGGAGGAGTTCAATGACATACACACGTACAGCACGTATATAAAGAAATTATAAAAATGAAACCCGTTTCCCGTTGTCACGCCATAACTTGAGAATGGCTGGCCCGATTTGGCTCATTTTTTTTTTTGCTGTGTTTGTTATTGTCAGGAGAAGGTTTTTATGATAGAAAAACTCCTGAAAATCTTATGGGCAGGGGAGAAAACGGGATTGCGCGTACGAAATCGCGGGCAGAGGCTAGTTAATAAAAAAATTACTGTTTGGTACAAGCTTAGCATATTTATTTCCGACAATCAACTGTGTAATAACTTTGGAATAAAGTCAATATTTCTTTGCCAGTGTGGAGTAGCTTGGTGTGCTAGTGTGTAGGTATTCCACAATGAACTTTATAGTTTTACAATACAGTTTATAATTATTTGCCAGGTAGGGATATTATGATGTGCTGATGTTTTGTATTCAATATATTTTCAATGATTCACTTCTCGTCTTCACTCGTATCATCAATGTCTGGTATATCCTCATCAGCAAACATGGTGCATTCACATTCAGCCGCATTGTTTATGAATCGAATTTCAAATCCTTTCTTTATTTTAATTATTACGCTTCTCACTAACAGAAGTATGTAGGCCTGTATCACTGAAACATTGAAAGTAATAAAGAATTAGCGTTATTGTGTGTTGTTATAAATGCTCGATTCCCGGGTCGGGCAAAGTATTACTGGGTTTTTAAAAATCTCAGTAGCAGCACGGAGTCTGGAAATGTGCCCGGTATATGGCAATAGGCTCACCCCCTATTACATGGGACTCATAACACAAATAGTGAAAAGTGGCTGTTACATTACACAGTGGCATTAATTGCCGAAGTGTGCACCTCTGCCTACCCCTTCGGGGATAAAAAGGCGTGATGTTAAGTTATGTGGTTATAAATGACATGTGATAGTTCGATATCGGAATCTGGAAAGAGCTGTTGAGGTTTCCAATTTGTAAATTCACAGTTTAGAAACACGGTATATGGCAATATGGGCTCGTCTTTGTATCAATATTATCATGTTTTTAATCCTAACACTACCGACACTTTGCGTTTGTACAATAGATACATTAAACACTAGTTTCTGCATGCTGTTCTATGTTATTTATAATCTATCTCTGCATCAAGTTTCATCTGACATCGTTTAGCAGTTTTTGAGCGAAAGACTAACAAACTGTAGCATTTACAATTGAAGGATCAACGAATATACTTACAAATCTGTGTAATATAAACAGTTATGGCGACTGGGAGAACCCAAATATATTCGTCAGTATCCTCTAATTCAGTAAACCAGTATATCACGTAGACGACCAGGCCAAGACCCACCAGCGCTGTGGTGATCCAGAGAATCAAACTGTACACATAATACGCCTTCAGGAGCTTCAGGATTTTCTGAAATTAGAATATTTTTATTAGTAAATGGTTTTAGAAAATTAACTAAAATCGTGGGTTAGTCACGTGAATATACCTCTACTGAGAAAAGCTCTACTAGTTAGTTTCGAACCACAGAGTCAGTGTCAGTTCCAGTGAGCTGCGGGACTTCGCCGCGACCGCGCACGTTGCTCATGAGGAAGAACCCCTCTGTGGTTCGAAACTATAGAGCTTTTCTCAGAATATTCACGTGAGTAACCCGCGATTTTAGTTAATTTAGTACGACTCACGATGGTTTCAGACAAGTTGAAGATCGAGTTCCAATTCATGCTATTAAACAGGCTTATGTCCAGTAGTGATCAGAGGCCTTAGTACGAATTTGTTTTACGTTTAAAGTACGTTTACGTTTAATCGTAACGAGTACGCGTTCGGCGCTGTGATGGGTTGCTTCATTGGTGCCGGCCAATCAGAGTACCGAACGCGTACTCGTTACGATTACTTTTAATGTAAATTAAACTCGTACTAAAGGTCTCTGAAGCCGAGTGATGATATCGATGAAAAGATTTCATTAGATTTTTTTTATAGTTGAAACTGCAATGAGGGCTCAGTCAGAATCGTAATAATTTTTATATGTAGATACATTGTAATACGTAGATATATCGTACCGAAAATTTATAAGTACAAAAATAGTCTCTATACATCGGAAATAAGGTCTATAATGAAGTTGGTGGAGAGCAGTCACTGCTGATAGTGTAATAATGGTATGGAAGTCATTGGGAAACGGCTGTGTTTAGCTGTAGCTGTTTAATGGATTCTACGGTGATTATGATATTATTATAAAGCTCACCCTATGACCTCCAATAACGAAGACAATATTCATTAAGATGTCAGCTAATATTAATATTAGGAGCATCCCTAACAGAACTGTATAGATGGTGTATTTTACATCTTCTTCTGTTTGTGCCTGTGATAACATTGAAGAGAAGCATTGCTCAACGGCGACTATTGCTAATGCGGATAGAACCTGTGAAACCAATATACTATTTTAACATTTACTAGAACTTTTGGAAATGGGCTCTTAGAGGTAAGTAATATGATTGAGTTTTCAGACTACGAAATTCACTATTCATTGATAACGGTTTATATACCTGGGTTTAACTTATGCATGAAACTCTGAATTGAAAGTTTCCAACTTTGAAATTACTCGGTTTAGTTATACTAGGATAGCAAAGTTACATACATAACGTCACGCCTTTTATCCCCGAAGGGATAAGCAGAGGTGCACACAGAACTAACATCTACTTTTCACTATTTATGTTATGAGTCCCATGTAATAGGGGGTGAACCTATTGCCATATACCGGGCACATTTCCAGACTCCGTGCTACTACTGAGATTAAAAAACCCAATAATAGGTACTTTGCCCTACCCGGGAATCGAACCCGAGACCCCGGTTGCGGAGGAGCGTTGCCCGGCAGTCGCACTTGCGACCACTCGGCCAACGAGACAGTCAAATTACATTACAGCAAAGTTACAATTAAACGTATATATAGAGGTATATATAGTCGGCAAAGTCACTATAATACTCCATACAATGGTCAATACTCCGTATTCACTAACAACAATTGTTTCTAGTGTGCGTTCTATGCAAGAATACTTATTTAAAAAAAACAAAGTTGTTTTTCTAATCACATAAAAGTACTACTATCTATAAAGTTAAAAATTGCTACCGTAGCCTAAAACGGCATAGAATCGTAACGCTACGACTAAATAAAACTAACTCAACAGACTCACCAATCTCAGATATCCCCAAACAATCAAACCATATCGCAAAGGTAAACAAAAACCACATCTTTTCAACACTGGCACTTCTAAACGCATTTTGTCAAACAATTCCTGACACAACCCTTCAGAAAAAAAAATAAAGATCAACCTGTTTCTATAGAAGAACAAATGCCTTATTTAAGTAGATTTTTCAAACAAAAGTAACACAAAATACTTCTATGATCGACGTTAGACGTTGGCTAAGTGGTAGACACAGGAGTTAAAGCCCGCGCATTTTAATACGACCATATAAAGATGACCACAATCAAATCCTACGGAAACTAGACAAAATAATAAAAATGTCTGTCTAAGATTTTGCTATAATTGGGATGACGACAGGGTATGAAAATTAAAAATCGAATTAGTCCGTAAGTTAGGTAATGAAAAAATATTAGACACGTATTTTTATTTTGTTGTATAATAAAATGATACTTAGATATAACGAATCAAAGATTAAGAGTGGGGGCTAAAACGACATTTCTACGTATAAAATGTACATAGAAGTGACGTCACGCGACATTTCAAATCAATATATCGTCGAAAGTATTCGTTTCTGTAAGAAATAGAGGTAAAATACGTATCTAATGATTTAAAATAATCTACCAGACGGACATTAAAACAAAAAATAGGCATCTACCCTATTGTAGATTGGGTAACCGATGTAAGGATAGGGACTTATTCAATAGATAATGAATATGGTATTTATGAAACAGTTTGGTAAGAAGAAAAATCTTTTAGAAATTGTTTTCTATTGCCCTAATTTTACACCGTCAATAAAACTTCGTTGTTTAAATAGAATACTATAAATTTATGAAGATAAAATACCCACTTAATCAACAAGTTCGTTAAAAAAAATAAACAATACATTATAATTGTATATTTTTAATCCTCACAATTGCACCGAGATAATCGCCATTATTTAATTTACCAAGGCTATCTTTTAGTTAATTTACCTTCCTATTCACCCCTTAAACTATATGGAAAGCGCAAAAAAAATAAGTGTAATAAATCCGTCTATATTCCAGCTGCACGTTGAATGAACAGACACACAAACTAAATATATTAGATGACGAGTCCATTTGTCCATTACCTCGGTAATGGCTAGTCATATCCGTATGCTTAAGGAGCCACAATGACATGCGCAGGCGTCTGGTGTGTCATGTCAGGATTACGGTCCTGGAACTAATGTAATAAGGTCGAAATGTATCCCAGTACTAGCCAATCTCGATTTACAACATAATATTGTGGACTAATACTTTACGCATACATACATACTTTTTTAAAAAGAGTAACGATTGGAGTTTCTTTTTCGTTCTTCTCCATTGAAATCTACATTTTGGAATGAGCACCTAGCTTCACCTAGCTTCACCTAGCTTCACCTAGCTTCACTGACGGACTAACTGACAGACTATTATTTATTTTATATTTGTTGACGTTTCAAAAGTACCAAATTATGGTTTAATTGAAATAAATGCTTTGACTTTGACGCTAGTATAACAATATAATAAGTCTGCCTATCCTATATCGATGTCGCGGAGAACCTAACCGGTAACCGGGGCTCCGACTCGACGTGCAGGAGAAGGAACGGGATGGTTTTTAGTCAGTAAGAGTCTGACACTCCCTCCCGCCTCACCCAGGCGGGAGCAGTCATTCGATGATTTTCCCCCCTTAAAAAAAAATCCTATATCGATAGGGATATATCTATATTAGTTTCTACTAACTCCAGTATCGTAGCGGTGTCCGATATCCGAATTGTACCAGCATCGGATTGGACAACGATGCGCGATTCGATTGTTTTGTCTGATATTTGACACAATCATTCTAGAATCGAAAACCAAATAAAGTCAGGAGATGCTAAATAAATGTAACTAGTAAGTATAATGCTATATGGAGCCGCGGAAGACTTAACGTGTTGTCGGGGCTCCGGCTCGAAGTGCAGGAGTAGGAACGGGGTGGTTTTTAGTTAGTAAGAGTCACCCGGGCGGGAGAAGACATTGTATGATTTTCGCCCCTCAAAAAAGGTATAATGTTAAAATTATGCAACACAAAGCAAATTAGGTCCATATGTAGATCTTTGAAACCATTGATAAATTCCTTATTTCATGATGATCTAACTCTTCTTCGTGTCCTGATGACGAGCAGTACCATTGATTGTGACGACTACATTTCTAAGAATAGCTCACCTACGTTTACAAATGGACGAAGGAAACACCTATTTAATGCTCAGATACGATCACAGCTGAGGCATTTTGCCGTTTGTGTGTGTAATTTGTAGTGGGCATCTCAAACATCCATATTTAAACACGTTTTTCAGCTCACGTTTTTTATTTGTTCAAGTCCGCCAGGTCCTCCCAAAATCGTAGCAACTCCTGTAAGCTCGGATCTACAGAAGATGAAACACCAAACACTGAAGTCCGACGCATCCCAGGGACATGAATATTTGATCTCTCAACGAAATAAATAGGAGGAGAACGACGCGACGGCTCCGTGTTTTAATTGAATATGTCTCACCAGAGTTGCATATTAAAAGTGCAGAAAATTAATAAATCTTTTAATCTTCATTATCTATTCGTAGAATGTGGCCATAATATTATGTTTACTGATTGTATTGTCGTGGAATACACGTGGGTTTAACCGCAAAAATTATAGTCTATACGGAATCACCAGTGATAAACAAACATGACCTTTTTAATTAGATAATAACGGTTCCAGTTCCAGCTACCGTCGAGAAATATACGTAAACAAATTGATAATACTCCTACCACTAGTAATTACAATCCGACTTTACTCTCTATATAATAACTTTATGCCTTCTAACGCCTGAAGGAGTACACAGAGGTCATCGTAAATCACTTTTAAACACTTAGGTTTGTTATCTCTGAGTCCCATATATTATAAGGGCTAAGCCTATTACCATACGCTGGGCATAATTTCATGCTCTAAATTCTCGACCCAAGTATTCCAAAGGGGCTTTTTTGACATTATTTTTACCTTTCGATAACCAGGTCACCGTGGCCTAAGTACAACATCAGTTGGTTAACAAAAATGGAGAAGTTTCATTTATTTTACCTTGTGCTTAGATAAAAAAATATACCTAAGAATATCGCGGAGAACCTAACGTCGCGGAGAACCTACCAGGTCACCGGGGCTCCGGCTCGACATGCAGGAGAAGGAACGAGGTGGTTTTTAGTCAGTAAGAGACTGACACTCCCTCCCACCTCACCCAGGTGGGAGAAGTCATTTGATAATATTCCCCCCTTAAAAAAATACCTACCTGTTTACATGGCACGAGCCTTCATACACAATTTCAAGTCCACTGTAATATAAACTACTTTTTATTTATTTACTTATAATTATATATAATAGGAACTCATATTTTTAACACCAATGTCTAAGAACTAACTAATTAGACTCAACTCGTAAACATGGACTTTTTCAGTCCTATCTCTATCGGAAAACACCACAAAAATACAAATAAACGCTTAAAAAGTTTAGAAATAAACATTACATATCAGTACGTATATATCTACGTAAATAAGTGGCATGAAAGTATATATAAATATAGACCTCTATGTCGATTAATTTAAACAGTAGTGCTAAATACATTACGCGATACGGACGTACTGATCAAGTGTACATAATTATTCATACTAACTATTAAAACTTTTAAGGTATGTAAACACACTTTCATTTCCAATTCTTGTACATTTTTGAGCGTATCTCCAAAACGGCTGTAGCGATTCAGAAGAGATTTTGTATTTGTCTGGTGTATAATAAGTGATTTATGAATATCTAAATTGATAAATGAAATCTAAATCGAAGTTTTAGAAAAATATATGATTTTAATGAGTAAGATATATCGATCTTGTTGATCTTGTACTAGTCGTGGTGGCCGGAGGTTTAGGAGCTCGTGCATGAGAGTGCGGGTTTGAAAACTACCAACGGCAAGTACCAATGTGACTTTTTCCGAGTTATATGTACTTTCTTAGATTATCGAGACACCACTGACAAACGGTGAAGGAAAAATATCGTGAGGAAACCTGGACTTACAATTTGTAATTATAAGTTTGTAATAGCTAACCCGCATTGAGCAAGCGATTAATGATCAAGCCTTTGGTCAGCAGTGGGCATTTATAGGCTGTTAATGATGATGATGATACAAGGATGGAGTTAAGTTAGTGTGAAAGAAAACATCTTCATCTTTATTTAATCTTCAGACTTAACTTATAATTCACTTTCAATAATTTTAATGGAACAACTAATTACTATCTATATTACACGTACTAAGTCAGGCACAGAAATCATTTCCATGTTTCTGATTTAAATTAATATATCTTTTCAGTTTATCGTCATCATAGTGTCAATTTGAATCTCCATAATGTACTCCCCAAAGCCGAGGCCTCCAATGTCCATTACCAACAAAGCAGGTGGTGAGGACAGCACATTGTTGAGCACAAGACGCTGTTTATTAACATGGGCATTCGTCAGACTGGTAAGTGAATACTTAATTATATAAATGAATATAATATTAAATCCCATATGGCAAGGACTGCACCGTTGGAGCGGTGGTTGGGCCGGTTGATTCCCGCACGGAACAACTCTTTGTGTGATCCACAAATTGTTGTTTCGGGTCTGGGTGTCATGTTTATGTGAACTTGAATGTTTGTAAACGCACCCACGACACAGGAGAAAATCCTAGTGCAGGGCAACGTTATATAAAAAAAATCAAAACGGAGCTGTGTAACTCGTATGGTGTTGTGGGTGTCCATCATCATTTTAGTCTTCCACAAGACGTCGAGAGGCGAGTATCCATTGACGGTGTTAATTTCATAAGACAATTCGTTGGCTTGTTTACTTAATTTAATTCATATTAAAAGTGGATATAAAAATTACGAGTGACTCACGTAAACATATTGAGAAAAGCGGGACATCGCCGCGCCCGCGTAAGCTACTCATGAGGAAGAGTCCCTCTGTGACTCGAAACTAGTAGCTTTTATAGAATTTTTAGTGAATTCAATATATCTCATGATAGTTATTATAAAAACACTACAATGTACGCCTCTGCAGCCAAGTTGCGCTTTTACAATTAATGGGGAGACAAGAAAGCGCGCGCGAAATATTTTGGATTAAAATCAGTTAATACTATCGGTATTCATTCGTGTAATTAGTAATTGGCGTTCCATAGTCTCTGCCTACCCCCATGGGAGACAGAAGAAGAAGTGTGAAGTTATGTATGTATTAACTAAAAATTGCGAGTTACTCACGTGAACATACTGAGAAAAGCTCTACTAGTTTCGAACCACAGAGGGGTTCTTCCTCATGAGCAGCGTGCTGCGCGGTCGCGGCGGTGTCGCGCAGCCTACTGTAGAGAGCTTTTTCAGTATATTCACGTGAGTAACCCGCGATTTTTAGTTAATTTAGTATGTCCCACGAAATCTTTTATAAAACATTATGTATGTATTATCATTATTATTCGTGTCTGTCTCCTAATATTGTTTTAATCATTGTTTTTCCAGATAGTTTCCTTGCTATGGACTGGTATTGTAATATTAGTGACTATCATAACAATAGTCCACTACCATGACAAAAATTATGTTAATGACAAAGATCGCTTGCTATTCGAAGTTCCTGCTATAGTAACACAAATGGTCGAAATAGGGATGCTCGTCACTTTCATCGTGGCTGGATTTAAGGTAAATATTCAAAATGATATTGAATTATTGCCTCGTTGGACGAGTGTTCGCAAGTGCGACTGCGGGGCAAGGGGTCTTGGGTTTGATTCCCGAGTCGGTCAGTGATTACTGGGTTTTAAAAAAAATCTCAGTCGTAGCACGGAGGCTGGAATTGTGTCCGGTATATGGCAATGGGCTCACCCACAATTACATGGGACTCATAACAAAAATAGTGAAAAGTGGCTGTTACATTGTACAGTGGCATAATGTGCACCTCTGACTACCCCTTTGGGGATAAAAGGCGTGATGTTATGTTCGGTTATGTTATGTACCTAATTACATACGCGACAATATAATTACACACATCCAGTCATCCATTTAATTAGTGTAAACTTCCTGTCTCTCATACATATACAATATGTATATGACACGAGAATTGTTAACGAGCCTGTAGGCAAAAATTGTGACACTCGTGGAAAGAATAATTGTAAATAAACATAATTTTAAGTAGATATAGGCTCAATGTCGCTGGCAGCTGCCTAAAATGTCGTAGTGGCTCGGAGGTTTAAGACGCCTGCTTCTCATGCATGAGGGTGCTGTTTCGAAACCTACCCACGGCAAGTACCAATGTGACTTTTTCCGAGTCATATGTACTTTCTAAGATTATTAGATACCGCTGACAAATGATGAAGGAAAACATCGTAAGGAAACCTGGGCTTATAATTTTTCTAATTATTATTGCCAACCCCCATTGAGCAAGCGTGGTGATTAACACTCAAATCTTCTCCTTGTGAAAAGAGGTCTTTGGTCAGCAGTGGGCATCTATGTGATGTGTAGCTGGTGGCGTCATCATCAGCTTTAATGTTACTCATGAGAAGAGCCTTCTAACAGCCTACTTCTTAAGACTGTTAACCGAATCTTAGCAGGCCGTTTAGGTTTATTGTCAACCAAATAAGGATGCTCTAACCATGTTTTGGGTCTGGATCCAAGCAACGTACCTGTGATTTCTCTGGTATTATGCGTGTGCATAGGCTGGGTGTAGTTCGCTGACTGCTTGCCATTAGGATTTCCATCTTCTCATTTGCCCTCTATTACATAAAAAAAACCTCTTTTAGATCTTAAGGTTTTCTAAGGCATCGGATATGCTAGAGCTATGTATGGAACTAATATCATCATTTTCTTATTTTCCAGAAAAGTGTAAAGTTGTATGACGTTTACTATCGTTACTGCATCTTGACCCTGATGCTGTACATCGGAGCAGTGACCATCAGTTTCTTCGTGGAATACAAACATTCACATTACCTGCTAGAAAACTACATCACTTATCATTTCGTTGATTTTGGCGACGTCTTTAGTATACCCGATGCATTAGTGTTCGGATCGGCAGCTGTTATTGATATTTGTAAGTATAGGAAAGATATTACTTTATATTAAACCTAGTATGTAGTAAAGTGAGTATGGGATAGCCAAGCTTCAGCACGAAAGGGCCGTGTGAGTACAGTTACCGAATGCCTAATCCTCACCTCCTTATGCTCAATCTTCATAATTATCTGTAACTTAAACAACCAAAAGGCCAGCAACACTTGTGATTTCTTTATTATTTGATGGCACAAGTCCATCACGACCTACCAAAACCGCTGCAACTTCTGTAAGCCAGGACCTACAGTAGAAACAATCATGAAAACACCGGAAAACTGAAGTCGTAGGCGTCAAAGGGCGCGTCCCAGGGACATGAATAACTATTTTGGTTCCCGCAACGAATTAAATCAAAGATATCATTAGAGGAGAAGAGAAATATGATAGTTTTCACTCAACACTTTGGTCGCTTATCGTTTTCATCCCATAAAAACTACTTAAAAAAAAACAAATACAATGCCCTCCTTTTCACCGACTTCATAAAAAGGAGGAGGTACTATGTTCGGCTGATTGTTTTTTTTTTGAAGTCGATTATTTAATTAATATACAAAAACCTTCTCCATAATGTTACAATACTTTTCTAAAAACCACATCAAAATTTGTTCAGCCAACAATCGAGCACAAACATGTAATCATACAAAGAAACTCCTTTTTTGAAGTCGTTTATAAGTTGTGGGTCTTTAAACATAATTTTCTTTATTCTCTTTACAGGTCTTGAAATTCTGCTGCTGCGTCTAATCAAGAAACTGATACTGAAATACAGTTACAATGCAGACTCAAAAACCACAACAGTGTGAACTATTATTTATTTATTTATTTATTTACACTTCTGTATAACATACGATGGTGAACTTAATTACGAGTGGCATTCTCGAACAGTCAATATTATGACATCACTTTTAATGAATTAATAGATACTTAATACTACATAGATAATAATAGCTACTTAGGTAATTATTAAAAAAATAATATGTTATTTTTGTAAGTTACTGATTTTAGCTCTTGTACAAAGTTACTTTACATTATTCTACAGTTGTAAGTCGACAATAAATGTGTGTCAACAAATCTTGGATTTCTTTCAAATGTGTGTGTCTATTTGTATCTATGACACGGAGTTTCCCCTTCACGACACCTATACACGCTGACATATTGATGGTTGTTTTCCCGCAGCAGAACGATTTCCCTTTAGTAGTACTATCGAATAATGCAAGTTACTTTTTGAAAAAATATTTTTTTTTCTCCTCATATACTCAAAAAAATAATCATCAACTCGAAAGCATGAGAAACGATAGTTTCTCTTCTAAAATGTGACGTCAAATCAATGTTCATAGTAAAATAATCTCTCGGACTAAGTAATACAGTATAAACTGCAATGCACGCGCGCGCGAGCGGATCGCCTTACGATAAACAACAAAGGCAACCACCGCGCTCTCTGTCACTCGCATTGGCCCGCATCGCCTCGCTTCGCTTTCATTCACACCAGTCGCACCGCGAACGCCGTCCGCGCAACCACGCAAGCGCAGTACAATATTATTGCCGCCAAAATGGATCGCCATTACGTTTTTTCTAATGTGGAGTACGTAGCTATGGTGCAATTGTACGCGAGGGCGAATTATGATTTTTGGGCTTTTAATAACCCACACGTTATTCGGGAATGTGCGCATCAAGTGCGGTTTAGTGTAAACGTGTGGGCCGGTATAATAAACGGCTGCTTAATTGGTCCGCATTTTGTGACAGGACACTTAACCGGTGAAACGTACCTACAAATGCTACGTAGTGTTATCCCGGACTTACTAGATGACATTCCGTTAGCAGTGCCCATGGATGGCCTGTATTACCAGCACGATGGTTGCCCTGCGCATTATCAGCGCGCCGTGCGAGAGCACCTCGACTCGGTGTTTCCCCAGCGTTGGATCGGTCGTGGCGGGCCAGTGCCATGGCCACCACGAAGCCCGGATCTTACTCCACTAGACTTTTATTTGTGGTCTAATCTCAAACGCCTTGTGTATCGGCAAGAGTACGAAACTCGCGACGCGTTAAAAAGTGCGATAGTGGACGCTTTTGATGTGATTAGACGTGACAGAGACACATTATTAAAATTGAAAGCCAATCAGTTAAAACGTGCACGATTGTGTGTGGAACGCGGTGGCTTACACTTTGAACAATTGCTCCGTTACCGGGAAGTGTAAGTACTTGTACATTTGTAAATAAAACAATAAGATAGGTGATTAAAATCATTGTAAATACGTTGATTCCCATTTTTTAAATACGCCATAAATACTTTCCCAAATTCAGTAATAAACAAGATAATATCTCTTGATTAAATTTTGTTTTATGTTTGTGTTTAGTAAGTGTAGTTAAAAAGTATTTACGACGGTCCTAAGCCCGTCAAAGTATGAAGGGAAAATGGAAATCACTTGTTAGCAAATACTGAGTTATCAGCCTTTTGATAAGCGCGAGCGACAATGACAGCGGCCGGTGGCCGGTCGCGGCGGTACTATTGGTTCGCGGTTTCTTTCAAGTTTCGTGTATCACTATCGTAAAACTGCTATTTTTTTATTTAAATTAAAAACAACTTTCTCAATCTATTGTACTACTAAAATAGAATCATTTTACTGTGGGAAAACAACCATTAAAATATCACGGTGTATAAAAGGTAGGTTAGGTTAGTTGTAAATCGCAGAAAATTCTACAATTTATTTATTTATAAAAATTACAATCTACTGACATAGTAATCTATTAACGCACAGCGCAAACCACTGGACAAATCGGGCTGAAATTCAGCATGCAGGTAGATGTTATGACGTAGGCATTCGCTAAGAAAGGATTTTGATAATTTCCCCCCCATGGAGGTAAATAAAATGGGTTGAAATTCGACGTGCAGGTAGATGTTATGACGTAGGCATCCCCATAAAAGGATTTTGAACATTTCCACCCCAATGGGATAATGTAGGGGGTGAAAGATTGTATGATACTTTCTCAGTTTTATACCGATCGGGCTGAGACTTTGCATGCATAAAGTTACTATAACATAGATATCCCCTAAATCCACCCCTATAGGGATAAAATAGGGAATGAGAGTTTGTATAAATCTTCTTAGCCATTTCAATGGCTTCAAAAAGAAACAAATTGAGAAAGATTCATCTAGAATCATTGAATCTTTTTGAATTACATTCGGTAAAACGATGATTTGAGACCAGGGAAACGTACGATAGTTTTTATCACAGAAGTCCCACAGGAACGGGAACTATGCGTTAAAGCCCCGGGACTCTCTATCTCTTAACCACTGAACTTATTTAGGAGAAATTCGGTACAACAGTAGTCGATAGAATAGTTTTTATTACTCAAACCTTACGGGTACGGGCACTGTACTGGTAAGATCCCTGCGGGATTATTTATTTTTTGAAACTATGATAAATCATTTCACAATAAATCTTACTTGAACATTATTCTACGCGGACGAATTCGGGGGCAATAGCTAGTTATCTATAAGTTTGTTATATCTAGAGATCAGTTCTCCATTGTCGCCTGAGTGGGGGGTCTATGAAGACCTCAGCAACGTGGTTGATAAAGCTGGATGTGCCTTCCTGGTACCGGTCCTTGTTCAGCTCGCTTCGGACGAGGAGCACGAGGTACACCTGTAACACTGTGAAATTGTTTGTTTGGTTAGCTGACTCGATTAGTTAATTGCGTAGATATCTTGGGGCTTATACATTTTTTTACGTTTAACGAATTCCAAACGTTACCGATTGATTGGTTCGTTTGGAGCAGGCCACTCAGAGCGCCAGACGCGAAAACTCGTACTAAGCCCTCTGAGCGAGACACGGAGGACTTAACGGGTTGCTGAGGCTTCGGTTCGAAGTACAGAGTAAGGAACGGGTGGTTTTTAGTCAATAAGAGTCTGACAATCCCTCCCGCCTCACCCAAGCAGGAGAAGTCATTCGATGATTTTTTGCCCTTTAAAAAAAGCCGTCAGAGCGCCCGAACGCAGCGGTAACGTTTCGATCTTATTAACCGTACAACAATGTCTTACTATGCCCTCTTGTTAGTTAAGTGACAGCAATTGGAAATGCAATGACAGATGTCAAGCAAGGGATTTTATTTCCGATTCCGAGCTTCCGAGAAAGAAAGGACTTTTGAGTTACTTTCGGTTTTCCTAAAATTCTCAGTAATAGTAATGGGCCTGGTGTATAGCACTTCTATTACATGGGCCTCAATATCATCATCGTCATCATCAGATCGATCTAAAGACGTGACGTTGTTGAATGTCACGACGTTCGTTTTTGATGTTTTATTTTGGCAAATATTGGCAAATATTGGCAAATACCTTGACAGTTATACCGCTGGTATACCGATTAAATGCTCCCATGGGATGAAACAGGAATCATATTCTACGCGGGCGAATTCGCGGGCATTGACTAATTTAAAATAAGAAGACATAACAGTGTGTTTTTAATTTCTAAAAATATAAGATTTTGTACACACGGGGTTTTTCCTGTGTTTTCTACAATAACGAAATTCTTGGCATATATTTAAAAATAATGTACGTCATTAATGCGTTGCGCATACCTACACATGGACAATTGAAACCTGACATCCCTTAACACAGCAGATCATTTCAAATTCAAATTCAAATTCAAATTCATTTATTTGCAAGAATACATATTTACAAAGGAAGATCTTACAGCCTCAAAGTCATTGTATTCTGCCTGCGAGCAAGCGTGCAAAGTATAAAAATTTCAAATTAAAGTCACCATAATAATTTTCATAATTACAATACAATATTTACGTTGATATCATAGTCATAGACATATTACATTTTAGTCGTAGATACATTACAGTCACACATTACAAGATAGTCGATTACAAGAAAAAAAATAAAAAAATATAAGGTCGAATTGAAAACCTCCTCCTCCAAAATAATCAACACAATACAATAGTTATTAGATATTAACTATTCCATACATTTGTCATTTAAATATTCATTGATTGTGTAGTATACCTTCTGTATCAAAAATGCTTTGAGTTTGTATTTGAAAGAAGCTAATGTCTGAATGGATTTGATAGAATCTGGTAATTTATTGTAAATTTTTACACTCATACAAAATACACTTGATTTAAACTTAACTGTTCTACTCTTAGGTAACTTAAGTTCATTTCTATGTCTTGTACTTATCATTGTTTCGTAATTACTGATATCGCGCTTTGTGATTGAGGCTGCTTCCAATATATACATTGACGCCAGAGTTAGGAGCTTTAACCTTCTGAATTCCGCTCTGCATGAATCAGTCTGTTTAAGTCCACATATACTTCGGATACATTTCTTTTGGGCTTTGAATGCAAATTCTTTGTTAGTGGAGTTACCCCAAAATAATATACCATACTTAAGTGTGGAGCCCACATATGCATGATATACATTTAATAGTACGTTTGACACTCCCTCCCACCTCATTTAGTATAGAGAATTCCTTGGATGATTTAACCCCCTTACAACTACGTCAACAAGAACTCACCGAATCCAGTAAAAGCCAGAGAGAACTCTGTGAGGATGAAGTTCCACCGCGGGTATCTGTGGAGGTCGATGTATGTGATCAGTACCACTACGAAGGTAGCCACCATCGTCGTCAGCTCATAGTAGTAATAGATTCGCAGTAGACGACGTCTCTTCTGTAAAATGTACAATGCACCGCTTATTTATTACTGCAGCCTTTATTACGGTGCGTCGCGTACCGCGCGTGCCTCAAGGAGCCATCAGGCTACCACAGATGCCCAACAGGGCTGATACCGATACGGAGCCGCGGAAGACTTAACGGGTTGCCGAGGCTCCGGCTCGATGTGCAGGAGTAGGAACGGGGTGGTATTTAGTTAGTAAGAGTCTGACACTCCCTCTGTCACCCGGGCGGGAGAAGACATTGGATGATTTTACCCCACTCAAAAAAAAGCCTTGACCTTGTGTACAAAATTCCTATCAATGAAGAAGAGGAAGTAGAATGGGGACTGGCGTACCAGTAAACCTCCAACACTGCTACTTGACACCCTGTTACCAGAATTATAGTCTTTTGCCTACCAGAAAATTAATTAATGTTAAGGTCAAGCCATTGGATGTTTAAATGCTACGTTTGAATCATTTGCTGGGCTTTTCGATAAACCTCATTGTGTCCGATTATCGTAATGAGTTTGTCCTCTATTACATGCAACTCGTAATAATAAATAATAAGGTTCCGTATGCTCACTAGATGGCGTAAATGAAGTACAATGTTAGAAAATGCTCATCTTAAGAATTTTGGTTAACGATTCTGTATCATAGTCCAAAAATAATTGGGAATAAAAAATAAACAGTACTAATGCAATGTTTGGATGGTATATCAACGTATAACAAAATTAAACAAACCATATGAGCACCAACAATGAGGACGATGTGGAACACTATGTCCAGGCTATACAGTAAGAACACGATGCAAAGTTGTACTTCCATGATCACCCCCCGATACAGAGCCGCGGTGGTCGCGAACGAACTCTTCATGTTGTGATAGAACACACATAGTACTATCTGCAGGGTTCCGAATAATATTGTCAGGAACTGAAAACAGAGGATGAACAATGAAATATGCTTGTTAATTAAAATCTTATATGAAAATAATAAAAACTGAGGGCTTCTTCCACATGAGCAGCACGCTCAGTCGCGGCAATGTTGCGCACGTTGCTGGAGGATGAAGATGAGGATGAGAAAGAACTACTAAGTTATTATATATATTCACGTGTGTCACTCGAGATTTTTAGTTAAAAATAACAGCAATGTCATTTAGAAAAGTTGAACGACGAATCATCATGAAATATTAATATTTTTCTGAGAACCTACGGTACAATGTGATTTGGTGGCAATCTATAATTACAACACAAAGGCGAAGATAAAGTAACTAAACAGGATTCATGAAATCGTATCAAGTATCAACAAAATAAACATTTTTGTAAGTCTTTTCAGCTTTCCAGGGAATACAGAATCGCATATCACTAATACTGAAACCGTACGCTAAATCAGGATACAATTTAATCAATTCAAAAAATATGCGTAATACTTTATTTATTTTAAGGGTTAGAACAAAGTTTTTTGAATATACCGAAGTAAAAGAAGAGACAGGACCAATAAACGTATGTAAAGAAGTACTTACCAAGCTTATGTATCCAAATATAAGGATGCCACGTCGTAAAGGCAGGCAGCAGCAGCATCGCCTTAGCTCCGGTATTTCTATCAACATTTTCAAGATATGGTCACAAACACATACAAATAAACATGGTCCTTTTATAGAATAATGGCGCTACTTCTAAATGCAACGTTGTGGGCCACAGCGCAGAATGGCGACTGAATTAGCTGGACTGATACCAGGGTTGGCAATATTCGTCTATTTATTTTTTTATTTATTTAACTTTATGCAACAAGAGTACATAGGCGGGCTTAATGCCATAGGCATTCTTACTAGCCAACCTTTAGGTGATGCAGTGAGAGCGTGGTCGGTACAATAAGTTGACAACTTAAGAGTATCTTATATAATTTATAAAATAACAGAATACATACAAAGAACTATTGTAAATATAAATATATTTTTTTAATGTCTATTGCTGAGCTTTAGTGATACTTTTTTATTACTTTTTTTTGCAAACTTTTGGTTTTGATTGCAAATAATATAGAAGTTGCACATAAGGATTGACATTGAGGGTGTTCTTTAGCAGTATTTCATTATTTCCTTTTTAATTTTAGGGACTTTTATACCGCACAACGTTTATCAGTCCCATCGAAACCTAATAAGTGTATAAAGCAACTAGAGATCAATGGATCAGAGCCATAAAGTTAAACAACATTCTGACACTATCAGTCTTTAGCAGTTATATTCAGCTTTTTACAGGAACTCTAAATAACGTCAACAAGCTACATTCATTATTATATTGCGCAACAGTCGCGGCGTCGTGTGTCACAAAATGACCATGCGCGTGGCTAGAACTATAAATAAAGTGAATATAATAACTTTGTTTGTCAAAAGGCAGAGACAGGTCTCCACAGAGCGAGTAGCTAAGCGTAGCAAATGCCAGCAGCCTCGCTATAATCCTAAAACCAAAGCGCAATGATGTCGCTTTCGTTTGGAGGCATTTCCACAGCATAGCTTTGTGTGATCCACAAAATTTTCCTGTCTGAATCTGATTTGTATGTCTGTAATCGCACCCACAACACACGAGACTGTTTAATGTGCCACTACATTTTTAAAGATAAAAGTTAAGACTGCTAGCCCTAAGGTATTATTATCTTGTTTAGGCGTCTCGTTGTGGAAGCGAGCCGTGACACGGTACTGCAAGCTTGATCGACTCTTCCTTCGCAGATATCGTTGATTTCATTAGTGCAGGAAATTTTGGTTTAATGCATTCATTAATTATATATATTTAGAGATTAAACACACTCGCTAGAGAATCAGCGAATGCTACTCATATTTTTAAGAAATTAAATGAGTTAATAGGATTATACGTATTACTCACGTAATTTTTCGAGGGTACTCGCCAAGTTTCGAGGCACAACTTAAACTCATATAGTATTTTGGTTTACTAAGAGATATAAAAAATATAGTGTTTATTCCTGAGCAGCAAACTAGATGGCGCCATAAGTTGATGAATTATTATTTATATTTGACCCATGGTTTGGCCTGAGCAAACACACAATATTATTGATAAGCTTACATTAAAGTTTCATGCTTCAGAAGAAATATAAGTTACAAACTTGACTCATGCAATGCAACGCAAGATTAATTTATAAATTAATGAAAACCAAGGTATCTATTCAAAACTCTCTACCAAGCAACATAAAAACAACGACACGTTCAAAAAGATTAATTTCAAAACATCCACTGAAGTCTAACACATTCATGTAAAGATACAAGTTCAATATAAAACAGCAATGGATAGCTACAAAATACTATGACAAGTGACAATGAATATATCTTTAAGTAGCGGAAATATCTTATAAAGAACTGTTGAGAGGATGCAATTTTGGATAAGACTCGCTCGGATCCAGTCAGACACAAGGCTTGATATGAAATGTTTGTAAAGTGTACTAAAAATGAAGAAACTCTGCGATTTCAAGTGTCCTAAGATACCAGTAGTAAGGAAGTGTTGTTTTTGTATTCCTACGTACGTAGGTATAGCTGTTTTTGGATATGCCGATCTTGTAAGTTGATAAGTCAAAATTATTTTAATGTTGACAGTAGAACAGTAGAACTTATTACCTTTTAAATAAAATACGATTTCCTTTTGACTTGCTGGCTTCATTTTCTTAAGCCTCTTGCCATTAGGTAACCATTAGGTAACTGATTTGGACAGAATGTTTAAACAGGTCACTGTAATTATCAGACCTAAAATGTAGTTACTGAGTTACTGTTTTCATGCTAATTATTATTTAGCACTCGTTAATTCATACAGTTCTTCAGAAAACAAGAATTTCTTTGTAGATTGCTTCATAAGGAATTCTGAACAAATTGTGCCGAATTCTTACTATTTTGCAAAAGAATAATGCAAGTATTATCTTAATAAAAGCCTTGTAGTTACACTCAAAATAGGCTTCTTCCTCGCCATCATCATCATCAGCTTATAGAGATTCACTGCTAGATATAAACCTCTTCGGCTATTCCAGTGCATCTTCCGTATCCAACCAACCCCCAGGCACCCTATTATTATCTTCAATTAAATATCATACGTTTACAGTGTATATTTTTCACAACACTTATTTTAGCCATGTTGTAACAGGGCAAAGTTTTCACCTTCCTTTTTTCCATAGACATTAATTAATTAATAGTATTGACCGAATTAATCAAAAGTATAAAACATTGCTCACTATTTACAATTTATTTAACTGCTGGATAATTCTATTGGATGATTCTGAATTTTTATAGAAATTACTATTGATCACACATACCATTTTTTTATTTTAATGTTCATCCCGTTGGTTTTTTCAGACTCTCGCCCTTGTGGCCTTTCCAATGCTGATGTATGAGATGGTGGATGAGCTGACGAGTGACAAGCCTCGAGGAGAGATGCGATACAGTGACCCAGCAGTGCACCTTCCAGTGATAGTAGCTGCAGCATTAGCAGACATTGTTCTAACAGTGGTCTTGCTAATCGGAGCACATAGGGTGAGTCAAATGCTTTTGATAAGTTGCCTGGTGCCCTGAGGAAAACCTAAACACTGAACAATAATTCAATTAATCTAAACAGTTAAAGGCTAATTAAAAACAATCTTTAAAGGTAATCATTCAGTCTTAAAAATGTACAGCGTACTATTAGGTCTTAGTAACAAATCATAGGTTGAGAAGCAAAATAGCTATGACAGAAATGTCAGGCGCTATGAAAACTGCATCAATTTATTTTTGAATGGTTTTATTTAACTTGCCTCGTTTCTTTGTTTGAGTCTTAAGGAATTGAAAATTTATATAACCTCTGACAACAAATATTTGATAAACAGTCTTAGTCTTGATAACCATCTGATAATAATAATACTGAAGAAGTGTAAATCTGTATACATAAAAATGAATCCTTTTTTCCCTTGGTCCCGGCATCACGCGTGAATGGCTGGACCGATTTAACTAATTATTTTTTGTTGTATTTATTATCATTTAAATAAGGTTCTAATGTAAGAAAAAAAGAGATATTTCTTGATTATTGAGCGGTACGAAGTTTGTTGGGTCAGCTAGTAGGTACATAAAAAACATTTATAATTTATTACTTGTTAGTAAATATATTTGGTTTAGTTTTGCTTTCTATTACAGAAAAACAAATTGCTTCTGAAGATATACTTCTACTTCGCGACGATTTCACAGTTGGTGACGTTGCTTGCTGACCTGCCGTTTTATGACTATTCAGCACATAGAAAGAATGCTGTCTACCTATTCTATGTAGGTACGTGCTCATTATAGTTGTTTCCTATGACAAAAATAATATTTATTAATTGTCTTGTAAATAATAAAATAAAATAGTGTCTTGATGACCGAGTATAGTTCGGTTTCTTTTTTTAATAAACGACATTTTCTGAAAAATAAACCTGCCTAGATCGGTTTACCATCCCCAAAAGCCCATAGATACAAACACGACAACCGTTGAAGCTCTTTCGGAGATTGTTAATGCATAACATAATATCATGCCTTTTATCCCCGAAGGGAGGCAGAGGTGCACATTATGCCACTGTACAATGTAACACCCACTTTTCACTATTTATGGAATCCCATGTAATAGGAGGTGAACCTATTGCCATATACTGGGCATAGTTCCAGACTCCGTGCTAGTACTGAGAATTTTTAAAACCCAGCAATACTTTGCCCGACCCGGGAATCGAACCCGAGACCCCTTGCCCGGCAGTCGCACTTGCGACCACTCGGCCAACGAGGCAGTCTTTTTGTTAATTCATATATACAAGAATCGCTTGCTTAAAGGTATTAGATTAGATAAGCCTTCGTTTAGATTGACGAATTTCAATTTCGAAATTCTCTAAAAATCTGTTTGCTCAGTAAATTAGTCTGAATACAAATAGCCCATGAAAATACAATTCACTGGTGAATTCGGGCCTCGACTACATCTATTAAGAGTCTACACCTCTAGGTACGTTAAATAAC